CCTCTTTGGCATCAGTGCTGTTTTCCCTCCCCAGTGGTGGCTGCATTTCAACATGTCAGTGGAGTGAGATCCTCCTAAGTTCTTTGTGTCCCCCTGTGGGCTGTTGTGCTCATAGAACTCCTTAGAAAATTGGGTTAAGTCACTGAAATTTAGTTCATCTCTTCTGTGAGCAGCGTGGTCGGGGATGTCAAGACCCAGGTATCTAGGAAATGGTGATTTCTCAAAGCACTTGGTCAGCAGTGCATTTGGAATTGGGATGATATTGTTGTTGTTGTTTATGGCTATTAAATACTGGTTAAATAGGTGAAGCTGGGCTGCTGGGGCTTCCTCTGGCCTCTAGAAGAGACCAAGGTAAGAACTGTTGTGCATGAGCCGCACCAGCGAATACTCCAAGTTAAGAGTAAGCTCGTTCAGCTTTTCAGATGAGTGGGATTTTTTGGTTCAGGGTCATAAAGAATTTCCCCCATGAATGCTGGCATGTTCATGCTTAAACTGAATGTGCATTTGCCTTTTACAACCAGTACTTCCTTCATTTAAATGTGAAAACCCTTCACTTGTTGATGTGGAAGAACAACGTTGTTTTACCCATTTTCTCCTGCAGCAGTAGCTGAATGCCAAAAGAAAGTAAAAATCAGGTTTCTGGCCTTTGTTGTATAAACTAGTCTTGAAATGTTGGGAAAACAAGAATGTATTTGTGCCCTGATCCAGTTCCCTGTGTTTGCATTGTAGCATTCCACTGGCTGCAGGGCAGTTCGACAGAGAACTCTATTTAATCGGAATAAAGAGACGGATTACGAGGGAACTTCAGAAACGGAAAGAGCAAAAGGACCAAAAATCCAGCAGCATATGTAGCATTTCCTGAGCTCAGAACTCTGTGTTAGAGGTGCCCGGAAAGAGGATTTCAGTCCACGGCAACTCTGCAGGGAATTGTCTGCCTAAGCACCTCTGGCAGCCACTGTGGCTCCTGAAGAATGTCTTAAACCTCATCCTGGATTCATTTGCATGAGCTAATCCATGTAGCTCAGTGCTTTTGCTGAAGAAAATGGAGTCAGTTATGTAGGCCATCCATCCCAGCAGATGTAATTGATTTCATTTTATCCATACTATCTTTGGAAGCAACCGGGTGCAGCCTCTTGGTTCTAAGATGACTCCATGTAGGGGGCCCAGCTTCTGGAACTGGCAGGACCAGGGACCTCAGAAAAGCCAGCAGAGAAAGGTGAATCTGTCTGTTTGATTTGATCTGGTTAGCTTACACACATAGTGGGGCTGGTTTTTAATCCTTATCTGTAGCCAAGTGTATGGTGGTGGTCTGTAAAATGCGTAACAGGGACCAGTGAGGGGACGTGGGCAGGTTCGTGTAAGGGTGGTGCTCCTGGGTTGGGCTTTTTTGGTCCTTTGCAACAAGATCTGTGGGAATGTACACTGGAAGTGTAGGAAGACTGCCTTTCAATAACCGTTCTATAGGCCTTCTGTTGCTAAGGGGGTAAATCTCAATCTCTCACACCATGTATCTGGCTGTTGAGACTGTTTGAAATGATCCCTTCCTGAACTCACTTGCCCTTCCCGGGGGTGATGCTGCTGCCTGCCTTCAGAGCAGGATGCTTGACAATGACGGTCTGGGTACAGCTTCACCAAAGGGATCAGGATGCCGGGGGTGTCCGTGCAGAGGTGCTGCAGCCAGTCGCAGCAGCACAGTTCCATTACCTCTGATGACAGTTAATTCCTTTGGGGTTGATTTTTCCAATTCAGTGAACTGTGAGTAACTTGCTATTTTTGAAGTAGTGTTGTCTTAAGGCTAAACATCCTACATGGACCAGTATGGTACTGGTAAAATGTTCAAGTACCGCTAATACTTAAGAACTCTTTATGGGCACAGATGGGTTGGATCATTAATCACCTTAGTACATAAACCACCGTGCAAACAACTTGGAGGAAGTGCTGCTACCTATGCAACCTGTCCAAGACAGAGCTTCTCTTCTGCGGTACAAACGTTTATGGCACTGACCTGTCTGTAGCCATCAGGTATTTGGATTTCCTTTCTTTTTAAAGGAATAAAAATAAATTAATGCAATACCAGAAATGAGCACCAGCTCTTATTGCCAGGCTGTCAGAACCAGCGCTGACTCTGTGACACGTGCTGTTTGGGTGCCCTGAGCCATTTGGCTTCAGCTGGAAGAGCAGGACAGATTCCTTTGGAATCATTTGCATTGAACACACAAAACACATTTCACCTGCCAGTTCAAGAAACCCAGCCATTAACTAATGAATTTCAGAACTCTTACTACTCATGTCACAGTCTCTTTTATTTTCTTACAAACACACACAACTGAATAGGATTTCCACACTGTGGGTTCCACAAGAAGCAATGCAACATGTTTTCTTGTAGTTGCATGAGGAAAGGTATGGGGATAAAGCAGGCAATAGCTGCCTAACAGAGTTGTGCTCCCAGTTTGATTGCTCCTCACAATACACATCCAGCCAGTGAAGTGCTGCAATGCAGCTGTCTACAGTTTTAATTCCATATGTTAGGGGAATTGTGTAAATTAAATGTTTTAGTCCTCTCTTTTGGGTCTCCATTTCTTCAGTGTCACATGCATGGCACTTCATGTCTTTCTGTAATGTAGTGTCAGTCAATTTCAAGAGCATCAGCTTTCTAAATGTTGTGTCGATCTCTGCTCTTAGCTGAGCTACGTCTCTGCTGTGAGACTAACAATTATGTCCTCTCTTTACAAGGCCTTCAGTTCATCTGACTGACAATGAAGTAGGTACAAGTTTCAGGTGCAGCAGCAGCAACTCCTTTAATAACTTTGTTAGTATACTAACTCTGGAGTAAAAGAACTCTTGTTCTTTAGCATAGCTCACTTACTTACAAGTGAAAAACCTGAAGAACAGTGTCACTTTCATTCTAGAGTAAGTGTTCACGTAGCATTATACACAGTATCTCTGTAGATGAACTCCTTGGAAACTTAGTAATGCCATAGGTCTACTTTCCTCTGAGCTCTGGCAAAATTACAGAGTTATTTCCAAACATGTGACTTCTAGTAGTACTACAGTAGTACTACAGCTGGTAAATTACACTGAAGAAATGGATTCAGGATGCTTTTAACAAAACCTGGACTGCGGGAAACTTGTTACCTATCTTCACATGGATAATTACTAGTATTCTCTTAATTTAGTCTGACCAAGTCTTTGTTCACCTTGATAACAGCTATAAATATTCCTTGAATTGAGATACATAAGCCAAGTTCTTGCCATGGCACCCCATTCCTCAACAAGGCCACACACCGGGGCCTCCAGTGTGCCAGCCCTGCTCCTACTGCTGGTATGGTTCAGTGGTAACGCACAGCAGTGACTGACTTCTGCTCAGACACATGCTTTCAGCTGTAATGAGGAACATTTTGGCTTGCTGTGTTCTCCCCAGTGCCAAGAGAAGGCCGTATACACCCATCCTCTGCTGTAACCTACTCAGAGGGTCAAAGTACTCATCCAGAGCCAGGGTGGGCCTTTAAGCCCAAGGTACCAAGCTCTTCACAGCCCAGTGCTCTGAAGCAGCCTATTTCAGCTGCAGCATAGCTCCAGCTGAAAGACTGGGGGAGAGGGGGTCGTGGTTTGCAGCAATATGATAATCTCAAAACCATATCAAGAGGCAGCAGGTCTGGCACGTGCAGGGGCCTACCGGAAGAGCCGGTACACCCGCGGGAGCCGCCCGTCCCTGCTGGAGAGCGCTGCCTGGATGTGCTCGTAGGTGGGCAGATCTCTCAAGTCACCCAGGGCAGCCACAGCTGGCTTTTTGTGCAGCATCTTAGTGACCACTCTCTTGATATCAGCAGATTTCACTTGACCTGCAGAAAAAAACCCCAAAGCCAGAGCTGTGACGACTACATCCTAAATAGCATAAAGCTTTATTAAGGTGCTTTATGAAGTGACTGGTGCTCAGAAAACCAATGACTAACTCTGGAGCTTCTCTACCCTGCTTGATTTTTCCTTCCTAGTGTTGTACTAGCTTGTAAGCAGTTCAGAAGATCAGTTTGAAATACATATCTGAAGTATTTATGCCCCCAGCTTCCTAAAGCAACTCATCTGTGCTACAAGAGTGTAAGTTGCCCAATCCTGTACCTATAATTCAGTTAAGGAAAAGCATTGTCTACTCACTGATGAGGGCACACAGCTCGTGAGGTAGCTTCCTTGTGTTTGTTGCCAGCACTTGCCTGCCCACATCTTCAAAGATAACCGGCCGAGACTCGAGGTTCATCATGAGCATGGACTTCAGCTGCGTCTTCGCTCGCTCCAGTTCTACCTGTCAATGAGCAGCAAATACAAACACATGTTCCCAAAAGCCTGGCCAGTGCTTTAGCACAAGATACCATGTAAGTAAAGAGTTCTGCAAACACCTTCCTCTCTGTGAATGTGTTGCTAAAGTTACCATATTCTTTTACAGAAATCCATAACATGCTTATCTACAAAACTCCATCCTAGCCAGGCCAGTACAATGTACTATTTTGGCTCCAAGACCATCTGCATGTTGGGCTGCTGACCTCTCCTACAGCTCCTGCCATGAGAATGAATTCTCTTGTGATGATTTCCACCATCTCTCGAACCTAGGAAAGCAGGTAATTGAAAGATTAGAACATTGCTGTCTGGTAATAAGTGAGTCTGGTAATAAGTCCTTGCATACAGCACTACGTACCTGTTTTGGATCTGCACTGGCATGTATACACAGGAGACCTGTATCCTCGTAACTGTGGTGGTAAGAGGTTGCATTGTACATCCAGTGGTGCCTGGGAGCATAGAAAGAGTATTTAAAAGTTTGAAAAACAGAATTTAAGTGTAAAAATTAAGCAAACATGGACAGCGAGTCCCTTCCTAGGGCCCTGTCAGGGTTCTCAGCAATGTCAGTGGGAACTGTCAGTCCCTGCTCTGAGGATTTCCGATTGTGCCATCTACTTCCTGCCTCCCTGAGACAAAACCCAGAACATGGAGCTGCATCACTGGTACCTACTGCTAATTCTGTCAATATTCCCTGGTGAAAGGATGGATTGGGCTACTGGAGGAAGACAGAATTCCTGGTCGTCACCTCTGCCCTTTACTTTCACTCTCTCAAAACACCCACTGACAAGTCAATCCCGTGTGTTTCAAGCGGAATAAACTGACGTAAAACCAGGGCGTGTTGGCTTCCAAAAGATGAAGCCTCCCCTGAGAACCTGCTAGAAGACTGTTTCTGCTGTCCCCTAAAGAGAAAGGCAAACCAACCTGTTGAGCACATTGAGATAGAGTCGGGTGAACATGCCCTTGCCAGGCCCTCCAGCTGAAAAAGAGCCTCCACCTCCCATCATCATGTTCAGTACTGCAAAGGGAATGAAATCTTCCTCCTGAATGGTAACAAGAAATTCAGTCAGCTAACAGCAGAGCTCCCGAGGGTCTGGGGTGAGTAAAGAGGGAGAAAGAGACATGGCACAAGAAGGACTTAAAGGTCAGTGCCTTTACCAAACTGTCAGTGAAATGCTGCTTGTCTGTACATGCAGCATCAGCAGCAAGAGTACCAGTGCTTGTATAATGAGAGTATTCTGGGATTCCTCAAGCACAGGGCAATCAGAACAAGGGATTTTAGGTTAATACTTACTAAAAATGAGCAGCTTTCTAACCCAATCATGATGTGGGTAAGTTCTGGGATGGGAGTGGGGCCCAGACTCACATCTGACATATCTTTTTCGACCTGTGGGAAAGGCAGACAGATTATCAGCACCGATTTCAACCTCTGTTGTATCCACCTTGATCTGCTCCCAATAATTAACGTGTCATCCAAATATTAAAAGCAAAACCTATGGAGAAACCAGCTCAAGTCCAGATCTGCCTCTCCAACAGACAGGAAGAGGCACGACACCACCTCCACCTTCCTTTCACCTTGACAATGCCTCCCGTGTACTGCGCCACCGATCTGTCCACATCCGCGGCCTGGCCCCTGCCCCACGCCGGCTCCACTCCCAGCAGGTGCTTCTGGGCACACTCCACCAGCTGCTCGTGCTCGATTCCCACCCCGGCAAGCACCATCCGGTCCGGTGTGTAGTAGTTCCTCAGGTAGGAATGCAGCACTTCCCGGCCAATTTTGTCCGTGTTTTCCACTGGGCAGAACCTGTTCAGTCCAACTGTATTGTC